TTAGAGTCAGGGTTTGCAAGAACTGTGGGATTCTCCTGTAGTAAGGAATGTAGATGTTTGTGGTAGCAACGGGGACTAGTAGGAATCTTCTGCTTACCTTTTCCCCACAAGGGGAAGTCTCTCCTGTTTGTGGACCAATCTGACCTGGAAAGGGGAGACGGAGCTGCAGAGGCTGGGTGTCTCCACACTGCCCTTCTGGGCTTCCATTCACCAAGTGCCAGGTTCTCTATTCAGTCATCTTGCTAAAGCTCTCTTGCTAAAGTCCATAAGTGTATTTATTAATCTCAACAACCAGATAGAGCAAAACAAAGACATTTTTTTTTAATTTGAAGATGGCAGAGAATAAGATTAAGATCTAGTTGGCAGGTTCCCATCACTCCTTAAAGACTTTCTTTGTCTCAACCTTTCAGCAAATTAACAACGGCTAGCTTAATACACATAGCAGACCCTCAAAAATGTTCAATGAAAGAATGGCCCTACCCAACACATAATATAAGAACTATCAATCTCTGGTGGGGTGGGGTAGGGGAGAACAGAAATAAGATGGTAATAAGGAAATTCTCTAATAAACATTTTCTCCAGGAAAGTTTCACAGAACATGAATTTTAGCTCTACTAATTTGCAATTTGTGATAAATCAAGTTGAAGCTATCTATGCTCAGTACTTTTAAAAGGCCATTATGATTAATAAACTAATTCATAGTTACTGGGCACTTACTATGCAAAAGACCACAAGCGCAGTGCTTTTCACACATTATCTCATTTAATCTTTAAATCAACTTTATCCAACATAAACTATTACCCTGATTTCCAGATGCGGGAAACTGAGGCATAAAGACGTAAAGTAACTTGTATGATGTCACACTGCTCTTCTGTGAAGAACATGGGCTTGTAAGCAAAGTCTGTCTAAATCCAAAGCTCTATGACCTCAATATTTCATTTAATACTTAAACAGTAAAACAAAATAACACTAATTAGCATCTGATAGCCTTTAAAAACGGAACACAGAAAACTTCATTTTAATAAATGTTAATTTTTAAGAATTATATATTGACATAATGTACTAGTTGCCAATCGTTCTTTCACTTCATTAAAAGAAGCCTCATCCTCTATTTGCCATTTCATTAACCTACTCTAGTTACTCTGGATATTTAACCATAAAATTTAACTTTTCATAAAAATGAGTCCATAATTCATCTTTGTATCAGAATATCCTCTATCCTCAGCCCAAATTTCTGAAGGTTTAATATATTTTAATAAAAAGCAAATAATCTTGTAACGTGTATGGAGATGTGTATTCACCCTCTCTTTTTCTCTCCCTCCTTCTACTAACTAAAAGCTGGCTACTGCTACCAGTATCTCCACAGCCTACACATTTCTTTTCAACATAGGCATTCTATCTAAGTTGTAAAGAAAGGTACACAATGATAAATTTTAAAACCACATTTAGGAAGAAGATGACTATGTTTATGTAATGAGGATAATAATCCAGCTTCACATGTCTTCCCATCACATCTCTTGCTTTGCTTTTAACCAGTGTGAAAAATCTTTGTTAATTGTATTGCTTTTTAATATAATTATATCCCCCACAAAAGAAAATAAGTACATACTACTATACCATACCAACATAACATTAATTTGGAAATAGAAATCATAATATATTCAGGAGACTTAGGGTTAAAGCCCTAATAGGTTTAACTGCAGAAGGATCTTTCATTACATGATCACATGAAATTGGGTCAGTGACAGATTATGTAGTAAATAATATTCAGGAAAATATTTATCTATAATCTCTTTATCTTACATATATAACATTCTGTGTGACTGCATATACTGATATATAATCTCATTCTGAAAGAGTATATTATAAATACATACAAAAAAGGGGTTATAGCTATGCCAAAAGTAAAAAAAAAAAAAAAAAAAAAGTCTTGTCTTTTATGCTATTAAATCTCCAACATAACATTGCATCAATTTCTTGCATAAATTCAAATAACTTGTACAAATATTTGTTTTTAAAACCTGGGCATGCCACCACCAGTCCAGTCCAATAGCCCATCTACTCTAACGGCCTGTCTTTGACAGTGACCAACAGTGGACGCCTCACAGGACAGCATACACATAACATAATGTATATAATTATGCATCACTACACCATTATCCCAAGTGGTAGTTAGATTATATCCTGAAAAAAATTAAAACAAATTATAACCCCTCTCCCACAGACACTCTATAATTTCTCATAAGGTAATGTGAAGCCTCCTTTATAAAGCACATACTTAACCATAATATAAGCCAACGCTTTGTATGACAACTAAAATGAGAAGCTGAACCCAGAAATAGAACTTAAGCTCATCAAAACATGATTTGCCAAAGGGGGATTTTCAATGAAATGAAAAGCATCTGATTCGCTCAATTAAAAAGAATCATTTGCAAAACAGATGAGCAAAATTTAACTAAAGGTTTTTAAAAGCAAACTACAATTTCTACCCAAGCCATAACATTTCATGATATGTAACACTATTTTCCAGAGCATATGATAATGCCTGTATTTTTAACTCCTCAGAGAAATGACATTCACACCTGTGTCATCATGGTTTTAAATTAAGCTTGAACTTATTAAATGCTCATCCAGTGTGCAAAGCCACATAATGCAGAAATCTTGGTTTGGTCTTTCAGGAAGCACTGCTTCCTAAACAATTACAGAGAAAAAAAAATGTACTACATTTTTTAAGACCTTTGGAAAAGATAATTCTCTTGGTAATGTATGTAGGTATTGATTTAACAACCCTTGTAGTCAGGAAATAATACCTAACCTAAATTCTCCATGGTAAAATTTGAAGTAATTTTCTCTTTTTCTGACCTCAAATAAGTTGGGAAACATCGAGTCATACAATATTTCACATACATTCATGTGTTGCATAACAATGTTTCTATCAACAATGGGCCACATATATGATGGTGGTCCCATAAGATTGTAATGGAGCTTTTATACCATATTTTTACTGTACCTTTTCTATGCTTACACACATAAATACTCACTATTGTGTTATAACTGCCTACAGTATGGTAACATGCTATACAAGTTTGTAGCCTAGGAGCAATAGGCTGTGCCATATAGCTTAGGTGTGTAGTTGGCCATACCATATAGGTTTGTGTAAATACACTCTATGTGATGGTAAATATTCAGTGTCAACTTGATTGGCGTGAAGGATGCAAAGTATTGTTCCTGGGTCTGTCACTAAGGGTGTTGCCAAAGGAGATTAACATTCGAGTCAGTGGACTGGGAGAGGCAGACGCACCCTCAATCTAGGTGGGCGCTCTAATCAACTGCCAGCATGGCTAGAATAAAGCAAATTTGCTGAGTCTTCCAGCCTCCATCTTTCTCCTGTGCTGGATGCTTCCTGCCCTTGAACATGAAACTCCAAGTTCTTTGGCTTTTGGACTTTTGGACTTACACTGGTGGTTTGCTAGAGGCTCTCAGCCTTCAGCCAGACTGAAGGCTGCACTGTCGGCTTCCCTACTTTTGAGGTTTTGGGACTCGGACTGATCCACTACTGCTTTCCTTGCACTTCAACTTGCAGATGGCCTATCGTGGGACTTTACCTTGTGATCATGTGAGTCAATTCTCCTTAATAAACTCCCTTTCATATATACATCTATCCTATTAGTTCCATCCCTCTAGAGAACCCTAATATATACTCTATAATGTTCACACAATGAAACTGTCTAACAATACATTTCTTAGAACATATCCTGTTGTTAAACAACACATGACTATATTTGAAAACCTTTATTAATGTCTCTTTTTCTAAGTCACTGCATTGCAGAACTAGGAACCAAAAAACAGTCATGTATTGAGTTCAGTTTTATAATTTTTCTCTGCTATCTATCATAGCCCAAGAGACCGGTCTCAAAATTACTAGCAAACCCGTAGTTTTTACCAAGAACTTCTTTTCTCCCTAATACACTCTTCCTCAAAAAAAAAAAAAAAAAATTATATTTCAGAACAAACCCGAAAATGTAGAAGAGGAAGTTTATAAGAGACAGGAGCAAGAAACAATGCATATAAAATTCCAATGTAGACACTTCTTTCTTACCTAAAATAGGGGATCATTTAATGAAATATATTGCTCAAAACCTCTGGGACAGAGCTGAAACTGCAATGCAATATCATAAAATCTGCAGCTGTGTTGCTGTTCTTAATAGTCCATGTTGCTTTCTTAGACCACAGGAAGCCAAAACACACACTGTCAGACCTAAACTTACCTTCACAGGAATTGACCAAAGCAGTGGAGCCGTTATGATAGACCATGCAGCAAAACGGTTATTGAAAAGATTGTACACACTCTTAGGAATTTTCTACTCAAATAATTTGCTCACTCTAGAAAAGCTGTTTCCAAATATCAAATCTTTCTTTGTAGGAATTAAAACTACAGGATAGGCAAATGTCTCAATAAGTCCTCTGTTTGGGCTGCCATAACAAATGACATAGACTATGGCCTAAACCACAAACATTATTTCTCAAACTTCTGGTAACTAAAGTCCAAGATCAAGGTACTGACAGATTCAGGATTCAGTGAGGGCATTCTTCCTGGTACGCAGTCAGCTTCTTGCCTATCTTCACATGGCAGAAAGAATTATTCTCTCTCTTGTGTCTCTTATGAAGGCATTAATCCCATTCTCTTTTTTAATTAAATAGAGACAAGGGTCTCACCATGTTGGCCAGGTTTGTCCCAAACTCTTGGCCTCAAGCAATCCCCCTGCCTTGGCCTCCCAAAGTGCTGGGACTACAAGCATTAGCCACTGCGCCCTGCCAGATGTCATTCTTAAGGGCTCCACTCTCATGACCTAATTATCTCCCAAAAACGCCACTTTTAGACACCATCATTTTGGGGATTAGGTCTTCGACAAATATATTGGGGGTGAGGGGTGACACAAACATTCTGTCCACAACAGCAAGTAAACCGTACCATACATAAATAAGCAGTAATAACTTACTTTTATTGCCTACCAAGGCAACCAGTGGCTGAGTTTCTGACTCCTCGCTCACTTTCTTCACCACAGTATACCAATCTTCTAAATTCTCAAAGCTTTGATAATTTGTAATATCATATACCAAGAGGACTCCCTGTCACAAAAGAGTTACAAAATATCTGTAAAGTACTATTTGGTGAAAAAAAATCTTAATGAATACTTGAGTAATGCTTCAGATATGTCAAAATGGATGTAAAAATACAAATGTGTATATATATAAACTTATATAAAATGTGTTTTATATATAAACTTCCATTTAAATTGCTTACTAGCAGATTGATAATAGTGACTGTTTTCATTCAAGACAAATCCAGCAACTAAGATGCAATGCAAGCTAAAACATAATTTTATCAAAATTGTAAGCAGTCTTCCAATAAGATATCTGGAATATGCTTGGTAAGTTACAGTAAATATAAGAAAATCATATCAAAGAAGTAGAAAAGGCTACAACATCTACAATCCTACCTCTCACTTTCATGAGGTCAAACATTAAAACTTTTCAATAAATATTCATCTGCTGCTACTCTTTTTAAACATTTTCAAAAACAAAGATTCCATGATATCCCTTGATAGACAATTTCAGTGTTTAATACAATTTTCTTTAAATGAAATGTCGATTTCCTCTTTTAGTCCACTGTGCATTTGGAGAACCTGAGAGCATCTTTCTTAAACTAACCATTCATATACTTGAAGATAGTTAAGTAACTCCTCTACCATCTCCTTTCCAGAGTAAACAAACTCAGTTCCTTAAACTTGCCTCAAAGGGCCTATTTTTCTATCCCTTTAATCATAGCTGCTGATTCTTCCCAGGACACACTACATATAGTTTTTTGACATCCTCTTTAAAATGAGCAATGTAAAACCTGACATAATACTGTAATAAGAGTCTGAGCAATGCCAAATATAACAGAAGGATTGCTTCCTGCCTCTTATATATCATATTCCTTTTAATTTATCTCATTATTTTGTGTGGGAAGGAGAAGTATATATGCACACAAAAATAACAGTACCACATTCCTGATTCTCATCCAGTTTGTGGTCAAACACTTAATACAAAGCTCTACATACAGTATAAGCCTGAACCCTAATGGCATTTATGTCGACTTCTTAGGTTATAACAGTAGTAATCAACTACTTCTGTGCACCTACTGTATACCAGACACACGTCAAGGTCTTCTCATTAATACTCACACCAATCATGAAAGGCTGGTATTATGATTTCCATTTTAAATAATAAACAGAGGTTAAAATAACCAACGTCATACTGATAGGTAAGTGATGGAGCCAGGATTTGAACCAAAGACTAAATAATTAAAAACATTTGTCTGTCAACTAAACTCCAAGTATTGTGCTGGATTCTACAGATGTAAGTTCCAAACCATAAGGAACTCACAGTCTGGCAGCAAAACTAAACACATAAATAAGTACAGAACACAGAAGTCATAACTAGTGAGACACTGGTAAATATTAACCAATTGGCTTGGGGTTCAGGGCCCAGCAGGGGTGAGTTTGCCATAATGTTTGCCAATTTTCATGGTGTAAATGCTAGCCTGTGGTCATTTTTAAGCTATCAATATGACACCCACTGAACAGAGTTGGGGAGGTCACCAATATAAAACATTTCCACCATATAGATATAGCAGATGTAAACAACCTCGAGAACACAGATAACAGAAATACATAGCAAAATAATTAGTGATAGAGATTAGGCATATAAATACCTTTGTTTTAATACAATGTGTGACTTTATATGTAATTTTTCATTGTAAAAGTTTTTAATAACTGGCTCACAAAAACTGCTAAAAATTTAACAATTAACTCTCTGAAGCTAGAGCAAGCCAGCCCTAGCATACTTCTGTTATGACCTTCCAGGATTATTATTCTCTTTTATTAAACCATATTGGCCCCCAAGTTACCTAGCTTCTCCATGTCTCAGGTTTCTTATCTCTAAAATTCGATATTTGAGTTAGATGGTCTCTAAGATCCCTTTCGCTTTAAATATTCTATAATATGCAAAATCACTCATCGGGTTCATTTTGGTCACTTGAACATCTATTTCTGTTTGTCTTCCAAGATGGTTTGAAATAATGCCCAACATAGAATTATCTAAAACAAACAGTATCTCACTTTTCTTATTAAGAATAAAGCCCCAGAACTAATATCTGAAGATTAATCTTCAATCTACTGGCTCCATGACATGGCTCCAACTGCCATGGGTGATATCATACATTATTTGTTGAAAAGAGCTCTACACTGGAACTCAGGTTGCTGTTGGATTCCAGTCCTGGTCCCATCTATTGATCTTGGGCAACACTTGTTACCTCACTTTTAAAACACCTGATATGCCTACATTATAAAGCGAAATGATAAAAGTACTTGTTTTAAAATTAACATACCACATGCAATTGTAGATTTTTTTTTTGTTATCAACTAAGTGAAGAAGAATCACATTTTTATGGCAACTTTGAGGTAGGTTTTAAACTCACAAATAAAGCCTGGACCTCTGCCTCTTAAGACCTTTTAAACCCTTTTGATTAATATACAAAAACCTTTATCCAAACATGGGACAATACCTGAATATGGTAAAATATATGCAAATAAAACATGGCCACCATCTACTGATATTCAGTACAGGATGAGAGCTATGGAACAAAAACATTAAAAACTGTTCTTCTAGACCACAAATTGGTAAATATGGCCATGGGTCAAATCTGGCCCACACTGTGTATCTGTAGATAAACTTTTACTGAAATATGGTCACAATCATTTGTTTAAGTATTATCAGTGGCTGCTTTTGTGCTACAACTGCAGAGCTGAGTGGCTACAACAGAGACAACATGGCCTGCAAAGCATAAAATATTTACTATCTAGCTCTTTTCAGGAAAAATCTGCCAATCTCTGATCTAGACAAATGTGTCCCAACATTTTTCAGTTGGTGATTCCTAGAAATCTTTCAGGATTCACAAAAAATATAGAAGGATAAACTCCTGTTCACTCACCTAGCTATCTAGCAACACAAACATCTCCTTGTTCATATTCTCAGTACCATTTATAATGTAAAAAGTATTATTTTTCCTTGTTCTTGCCATCATAACTAGTACCACTGTGGTGAAATTCTGAAATGAAAAAATGAGAAAACTAAAAATGTTAAAATATAAAAGGAATTATAGGACCTTCAATTTCAACTCTGACATGTAAAAAAAAAACTTGGAAGTCATCACTCCTGTCCTTACAATAAGAAAAAGGCAGAACAAACAGAAAAAATCAGTGACTTTTCTTGGATTCATCAGAAAACTGATATTACAAGGCAAATCATCACCCTGAAATCTGGAAAGACAAACAAATCCAAAAAGTTACAGCCAAGATCTGCCTACCTGGAGTAGCAGCCTCTAGAAATAGTAGTGATAATTTTGACAAACTGCTGGAGGCTGACTGAGGTCTAGCTTAGGAGTGAGCAACTCCTAGAGGGCCCCTCAGTCTTAGGGGCTACCTCCACACTTGCATGGATATACGACCAGATTCCAGATATCCCACCAGATTATCAGTAAAGAAACAAGAAAGACCCTCTCAAGGCTCTGGCATGAAGAGGGGAGAAAAGTAACCATTGTGAAATATGCCCAGAGCATTATCCACAAAAAAGGCAAACTCTCCGGAAGAAATGGCTTAATCAGAACATTGTATTCCATCTGGAAAGAGAAGTTCCCAACTCCAGCCTCCCGTAGCCAGTCTGTCTCATCTAACCCGGAGGAGAAAGAAACACGAGTGAAGGTCACAGTACCGAAATACAAGCTCAGTAAAGACTAAAAGTTTATCATAAAAATATAGCATGCTTCTCCTCCCTCATACTTTACCACACCACCACCAGGGCACCAACATCTGAAAGAGCTGCAAGACAGATTTCACCTAAAGAGTTTCTGGAGATACCAAAAAAGACTGTGAGGCAAAAACAAGGATACTAGAGGAATCAATGCCTCTGGCACCCACAGCTAAAGTAAATATGAAATACAGCACAACATAAAACCTCACACCAAGTCTATTTACCTGAATCTTATTACTCAGTATACCATGTCCAGCTTTCAATATAAAATTACAAGGAATTTCAAAAGGTAATTTGAAGACAGAAACCAAGCATCAAAACCAAACTATGATATGAAACAGATTTTGTAATTACTAGACAGGCAATTTTAAGTAACTATGACTAATGTGTTGAGGGTTCTAAAGGAAAAAGAAAACATTATGCAAGCACAGATAGGGATAATAAAACAAGGGATAATAAAAACAAAATGCTAGATATCAAAAACACTGTAACAGAAATAAAGAATGCCATTGTTGGGTACATTGTTGGACACAGCATAGGAAAAAAAATCAGTGAACTTAAAGACAGGATAATAGAAACTTCTACAACTGAAATGCAAAAAGAACAAAACAATGTATAAAACAGAACACCAAAGAACAGTGGGACAGTCCGAAGTGGTGCATCACACACACAGCTGAAGTATCAGAAGAAGACAGAATCAAGTTTAGGGAGTATTTGAAGTAACAGTCACCAAGAAATTGCCAAAATTAATTAGACACCAAACCACATATTTAAGAATCTCAGAGAACACCAATTTGCATAAATACCAAAAACTCTATATCTAGGCATATATTCAAATTGCTCAAAAGAAAAAAAAAATGAGAAATCTTGAAAGAAGCTAGAAGAATAGGGAAAATATCCATAAATGAAAAAGCAGAAAAATTACAGAGAACACCTCATCAGAAACCATGCGAATAAGAAGAGAACGAAGTGAAATCAGCAAATGTAAAAGAACAGAAATTATAACAAACTGTCTCTCAAACCACAGTGCAATCAAATTAGAACTTGGGATTAAGAAACTCACTCAAAACCGCTCAACTACATGGAAACTGAACAACCTGCTCCTGAATGACTATTGGGTATGTAACGAAATGAAGGCAGAAATAAAGACGTTCTTTGAAACCAATGAGAACAAAGACACAACATAACAGAATCTCTGGGACACATTTAAAGCAGTGTATAGAGGGAAATTTATAGCACTAAATGCCCACAAGAGAAAGCAGGAAAGATGTAAAACT